GCGCCGCCCGGACCGCGGTGGTGCGCTTTCCCTCCACGTGCGCAAACACCTCCCTGGGAACCTGGTTTTAAAAATCAAATGAAACCCGTCGTTGCACCCTGCCTGGCGAGGATGCCGCAGGAAAAGGCACGCGTACGGCTCTGCAGGCCGGTAGGAGACGTGGAGGCTCCCTCCTGCCTGCTCAGCGACCCAGCGTGCATAGGATACGTCTGCGGGGGAACACAGCGATTAACATATGAAAACGCCGATAACAGTGGGATTCTTGTGCCGGCAGCAACGCGCGAGATATACTACCGTTTTGGTGCCAGTTAGCCCCATAACTGCTGTTTGTGGCTGGCTTTAGTAACAATTAACCTTTCACATTTTGTATTAGCCATTGCTTTTCTGGTGCAGCTGCTTTTATAACAATATACTTCGCTTCTCTTCACTGAGGCGCTAATTTTGGCAGTTAGAGGATCTGTTCTAGAAACCACAGGATATATGGGGAAAGAATGGGGATTTTTTTTTTTTTAATAGCTATTCCAAGTACAATAATCTCTTTCTAAAAATCGTTACATTTTGATTTAAGGGACCTTGTTGGTATTAAGAAAAAGAAGAGGTTCCATTACTGCAGCTAAAAATATCTGAAAGTGAATTCAACGTATTTTTGCTTGTGTGACAACAAGCCAAGTCATGAGTTTTAATAACCTAGACCTGACGTGCAATCAGATGTCTCAAATTGGAGCTGGAAGAAATTCGTAGCTCTCGTAGGTGTCTTCCCTACCTGTTTAAGCAGAGTTAAAGGGAAGGCGATGATTACGGGCCAAACGTTGCCTCTACAGCTAGCACAGCGCCTGAGGGGCCCTTGGGAAAGTACGTGGCTACGAGTGATCCACGGCGTTTCCTGGTTTATGGCGTTTAGGTGTGCGCTGCCTCCGGCATGGAGCTCGGGAGGCGTCCCCGTCCCCGGGGCGCTCTCGGGCCTTCGGTCACTGCGAACACAGGTTGCGTTTCGGGTCTTTGAACTTTTACTCCTCGCAGCATCGTAGCCGGGTTTGCCAAGGCGGACGTGACGTATGCAGGCGCAACGAGGGCAGTTTCGGCAGCGCTTGGCTGCGAGAGCCACGTATATCTATAATGAATGAGGATGCTCTCCTGGTCCCTGAGGAGGTCCCAGCTACGATGGTGGTAACAGAAAGGTCTCAGGGTCTCAAGCAAGGTCTCAAGTGGCTCCAGCCAGCTTGATCACGTTTCAGAATTGCTCCGACCTAGCCCTTCACCAT